AAAGACTCTCAGTCATTACATCTGCCACATTACAAATCTACATCAACAGACAAAAACAGCATATCAAATATTCACACATGCTCCTCTGAATCACAGGCACACACATTTAGGATCATTGAATTATTTCAGCCAAAGATGGGACTGGAGCAGTTACATGACATGAGAGAAATTCTGGAGGTTAAATTTGTCCAGCAGCTCATATTTACATTTACATGTATAATCATACATTTCCATTAAGCAACACCAATGCAAACACCAGTTTAGAGGTCAAAGTTTTGGTTGCTCAGCAGGTCACTGTATAAAAATGTATGACAATGTGAGGAAATCGCGTGCAAAATATTGAGTTTTAGGTTTAGATAAGATACAAAGGTGACTCTGTGAGGAAACTGCACCAGGACAAGATACGTTTGAGTTAAAGCCCATCTTTCCTGATGTGTGGCACTTTAGCTCCATCTCTGCTCCATGTCTTTGTTCTCTCTCGCACTTTCAGTTCTGAACACAAAGTGGCTATGATAAGAAATCAGTACATTGAACCATTCTTACATCTGGATAGGAAAGGTAATGCTTTATTTCAAATATATAGTTTCAAATATAAGGTGTATGATATTCCTAATGCACAGATATAATCAAACTGCTCTGGCAATAACTCATCTACATCTACTTGTTAATATATATATAAACTACTGTACTATATTTTGCTGATTTAAAATTGCATATTGTTATTAGGATGCCATCCAACACACTTTATAAGGTCTGTGGAACTTTATCCTTTATCAGCTAGCACACGTCCTCATTTCCATGCTCTTGGCCTTTAACTAAAGCATCTAAAAGATGATGAAAGTCACCGGTCTTTTGACACACCCTCATATGTTAATGAGAAGAAGCTAATAGGGTAATCTAGTGGGTTGAGTCTCTGACTCTATAAAATCCCTACACAGTACAGATCATTACCATCATCCTCATTTCCAACGACACAATAAAGACAACAACAGATCACTGAGAAAAAAGTGAAAATGTCTGAAGATACAACAACTATTGAAGAAATTATGTTTGATATAAAAGGGGTTTACAAGAAAAACGAAGGTAATGTTTTCACTTTAAATTTACACTTCTTTTTTTACACAAATACAATTTTATTGAAATAAAATTACAATGAAAATAAACAAATAAAACAAACAAATAAATTACTTGTAACTTAAAAAAAATCAGTATAACCCAATTTGAAGACTGTAATAACAGTTGTGAGTAAACTTTTTGTGGCATTTTTTCTCTTAGTTTATCATTGGGCAATACCCCTGGTCTGTGTACGTTTTGATAGTTTGTTTTTCAGTCTAAAATGAAATAAGCAGAAACGAGAAAACGGTAGTTTTTTCGGTTTTTCATTTGTTCAGAAAAACGAAAAAACAAGATTTTTTTTTTTTTTTTTTTTTTTCTCGATTGTGTGAATTATTCTATGTTACTTCTGAAGCCATATGATAGCTTAACCCTTTAACGCGTACGATCACACCGGTGTGATCAGTCTTGGCTG